TTAATATTGAGATATATTCGAGAGGGTATTGTGCTTTTCAACGTTGTTCTTCTTAGAACATTTTGAACTTATCAAGAGGATTCTTGTGGCATTCAACATCGAGTGCAGATCACGTGTTGTGTAATCAAGAGGTCATTCAAACTTCATTTTTGTTTGTTTGGCTAATTAATTCTTGATTCAAACTTAAAATCGAGATTATTCTTTGAGATTTTTTGGGATCGTCAATTTCGTTGTGGGTTGGGTAGTATTCAATGCTACGTGGTTCTCCTCACATTAGAAATTACAAACAATCCTAGATACAAGAACTAACACAATTTTTACCTTTATGCCAATTACCACTCTAGCATTGCAGAGAATAAAGAAAACAATTGATTCTGCATCTTTCTTCAAGGCTAGTATTAGTAACCGTTAGAATTTGTGTATGACCCGAATTTTTTGTTGAAATAATTGAAGAATTCTAATTGAAATACACGTCAAGAAGAATTCAGTTTGGAATACTCTTGGAGTCCTATGTCAAGTTGAAGTTCTATTTTGAAAACTCATTGAAAGTTGAAAATTGGTATTAAACTTGAATAAGAGTTCGGGATGGAAAAAACTTGGGAAAAAAAATAGACGGACAGACCGCCCTCAATGCAGCGCCCGGAGGGGGAGCCACCTGTACCTGTTCTGATTTTTCTTTCCTTTTTTCGTTTTGGGCTCAATTTTTTGACATCCTATTTCATCAACAACTCTATTAAGAGGATTTTGACGTCCCCTACATATTCCCTATAAATATTAAGCTCTTCCATACAATTTTCATAGTGTGAGAAAAGAGATTACTAGAATTTTAAAATCAATTGTATATTTCTCTATTATTATTAGTGCAATAAAATCTCCTAATTACTCTGCCATATTGTCTTGTCTTTTTTTATTCTTTTGCTTGTGAACAAATACTTCATTATTGTGCCATATAAGTTAAACATCTCAATCCGGTGGTTAATTTCATACCAAGTGGTATCGAATGATACGTTATCCTTGAATTTCTAACAATTGGTATCAGATATTCGAGGCATAATTAACACAACAAATGATATCAGAACGATTCTAATATCTTGTTTGTTTTACAACAGTAACGGTTTCCAAATAATCAGCAAAATTTATTTTGTCTAAATTTCCATTTAATTTTAATTGGTTCATGAATTCCAATTTAGTTTCAATAATCACTACTCCAGCACCACTTGTTTCCCAAATTGATGACAGTAACAACAGATGATAGTTACTCAGTTTACAGCTAATACCATAATAGATCTACATAATCGCAGTATGAGATGCCAATTTATCACTACGTCATTACATAAAAGCGTTCCGCTAAAGTTAAGTGACCATAGATGAAATTTTGCGAAAAGTTCAGTAACCATAGAAGAAATTTACCCATTAGTAAGTAGATTTTTATTACTATTGAAAGGAGTGCGTTTTATTTTTACGCCTTAGGGGGACAAAAACAGAAATCAATTGGTAAAACACTAGTTTTATTGGATATTTTTACCACAAAAGAAAAATATTGTTAAATTCATCCCAAAACTCAAAACTTTTCAAGTCATGTATATATACAAAGGTAAGGATGTAAGCTAAAAAGAGTGATCAAGTTTCGAGATGAAAAACTCAACTCTAATTCCAGCTCCTTTGCTCCTATAGGCTTTTCCAAGTTAAAGCCCCCTGGTGCCATATGTAAATTGAATATGGTACTTACAAATGAAAGGTTCCATTAATTCAAATCCACTAAAGTAGCGCAACAAATTATAGGATCCAAACATTTTCAACGATATTGAGATCTCATTAGAGTATGGAGGCAAACAGGAGGTAATAAAAAATCATGGAACGATTAAGAAAATTATCTCACCATAGTTATTATCATTTGAATCCAAAACCTGACCTGATGGCAGAGTTGAACCTTTTCTGCAACTTCATTAACTCTCTAGTCAGAATCTTCGTAGACTTCTCCATCATCAGAGAGTTCATCAAATGATCTTATATCAAGCTGATAGCGAAGAATGCCCCCAATGCCACCAAATCCCTTGCAAAATTGTGACCCCTCGTGTGATTTATTTGTGACGAATTCAAGTGTACAACCAAACTTCTTGTATTCATTGGCAAACCACTCGCGTAATGGCAATTTCTCCTGAACCTCCAACTCTGCAGAGGTGTCTGCATCCCTAAATTGACTCTGATCAGCCTCTTGCTCCTTGTTCAAGTGCTTAATGACAATCTCACAAATTCTCCCACACAATCAGGGTTTCAACAGCACCCATCTCAAGTGCCTTCAGCGTGTCATCTACACCAAATACATATTTCCCAGTATCCTGACTAATCTCCTCAAAATACTTGCCAATTAAGCGTTTCTCCTGTATGAACTTAACATTTGATAGAATCTCTGCCGACAACTCAATAGCTTGATTGAAACCATTTTCCCCACCATAGGGAACGTCAACAATGTTGAGTATCTTGGCCTGTAAACGGGGATCAAACATATCTGATTGGCTCAATTCGGTCTTGAAGTCGGCAGAACCAGCAAGTATAAGGCCAGAAACATTAGGCTGGCTTGTATTGGGATTAATGAAGAATTGTGTGGCAAGTTCTGCAGTCTTTCTCACATAGTTATGTCATTTTTCCATCCTCGGACGTGCAAATCGAAGAGCAGATTGTCCTCCTCTTGCATGCTTCTTAGGAAGATCAACAGTAAATTTGTGAAGCAGGTTCCCTTGTATTTCCACTTAATGTGCCAAAAAGAGTCCCATTACCATCCATTACTATAAAACCAAATTTGTCATCAGATTCCAAAAGTTCGTTTAAAGCTTCTGTGTGAAACTTATTATCACAAAGGTATAATGACGCATTGATGGGTTTGAAAGGCTCAAAATCAATCGTCACTTTCTTTTCCTTGCCATCTTCAGTAACAATAGTACCAGTGTAAAGAACCAAACCATTTGGAGGAACCTTATTGTAAAGCTTGAGCCTTTGTTGGGCAGAAGTGATGGCCCCAAGCACTGATTGACGATTCACCCTGCTTTTGATGTTTGAAGCCGTTCCAAATTCATCACCAAGCATCTTGGTAGCCCTAGAGATCTGATCTCGTGGAGGCATTATAAGTGATATCATGCTGGTCCCGTTGCCTCTAGCGGATTCCAATGCTTTGATCAATTTCTTTATTTTCCATATCTCAATGTTCTTATCAGATTCGCTATCTGCCATTTGATTGGAAGGCAAAGCAAGAAAAACGACACGACAGCCTGCAAATATTATGAAGAAAATACATGCGTGAGATGTACAGTATATTTAAGAAATCTGAATAAATGATATTTCATGCCTTGAGGATTAAAGGAAAATTTTGACATCTCAAATTATCTAATTATCATCAACAAAATGTTTGCAATGCTAATTTACAAGCCGTAGGAAACAAGCTAATAATTTAGTTACTCTAGAGGATAGTGTAGTCCAGAAGAGTGATCATTTTGAGTATTCCAGTTCGATTATAAACAATAACGAGGGATTGAAAAGAATGTAATAGAACTAGAGAAAGTTGGATGAAACGATAAGTGCTACAAGAATTACCTGCAAAGTTAAAAGCCGAGTCACAAAAACTATTAAACTTTCAAATGGTTCATCATTCTTTTCCCATTTGAAAATGATGAATGCAATGGGTAATTTAGGGTAAAATCTCACATTGCTTAAATATGAAAATAACAATCAAAAATTATGTACTTAGATTACTGCTCATAACAGGGTGGGTTCACCTTTTAAAATAGAATCTCAAGCCCTGCAAGCACAACGAGAAACTCAAACGAGCTTCCATCTTTGCTAGGGGGCGTTGAGAGTAAAAATGAACAGCACTTATGAAATATAATAATCAACATATAAGGGTTTTGTTGGACTCTTAACAATGTTGAGATTTTAAGATGAAACATCAATGCTCAAATTTATTGCTATGCCAAAATTATAGACATCAGCAATTGTGATTAACAGAGTGACATCCAAAACACCCAAATCAACTAAGAAATTTAATATTCGAATTTTCTATTACAATTATAAAAAAAGGCTACAATATTTTAACAAATCTTAAATGCTTGTGTCAATCATTCGAAAGTTTTATGCTGTTAGATGAGTATTTGTAATCCGAGATTTCAGCATACACAACTGACTAAACATCCAAATCTACTAATCAAGCTAATATCAGTAGCAACAGCAACAAAAAATCAGATTTTCAATCAGATGTCAAGTAACTAATTTTTGAATCGAAATACAACACAAAATTTGACTGATTTCTCATCAATTTATACATCAAATAGAAGCAAAGACAAGTTCTATACATATCCAAATTTAGTCATATCTCTTATTTAACTAACCTGAAACTTAAAGCAAAACGGAAAATGGGACAAGAGTTTACCAGAAAAGGTCAATGATTTGATTTGGAACCGGCAGTCGGGGTGTGGCGGTGGAGAGCGGAAGGAAGAAGCCCTAATTTTTAGCTGGCTTGTCTTTTAGGTGTCAGCTTAAATCCGGGCAGAGGTAATTTAGGAATTATGTCACAAGGAGAATGCTTCCAGGGTCATTATATTCACAGGTGTCCTAAAATGCGAGTATGTGCATTTTCAAAACACCTCTTATGGCATGCGCATGATAACGTGGTCAATTCAAGTCGTTAATCGAATATATACGATTAAACGCCAAAATACACATGTAAAAATTGGGTCAAAATTAGACTAACAAAGTTCAACCCATTTTATAACTTAAAAAAAAGTAAATTGCTCTCAACAAACATCAAATTAACTCAAATCACACAAGTCTATAAATAACATACAGTAATCTATAGGGTTTTGACGTTTTAAGAAAAATAGAAACGCGAAATAATTTTTTGTAAAATTGAAACTATTTACGTCGAGCATGAGCCTCTAGTTCTTCTTCTTCGATCTTCCTCTTATTTTACTATCAAGTGATACTAATAATAATTAATTTTGTATTGTTTATGGTTATGATGACGATGATGAGGAAGATGTTAATAATTATATCTTATCATCTGCAGACGTAATAGATTTTCTTGATTTGAAATAGGGGAGCTCAATGAAGATAATTTTATATTGGATGACACAGAAGATGACTTGGATAAAAAAGAGTTTGAATTGGAATTCGATAAAGAGTTATACAACATTTAATTTTTAATTTTTTTTTTTAAGTAGGTGTTTGCTAATTTTGTAGGAATTGATTCCTAAGTAATTATTTATAATTTTGAGCAATATGTTTATGATTATCTTTGTGAATTTCAATTTTTTTGCCATTAAATTATGTGAAAATGATTTTTCTGGATGAGTGAATTTTGGAAGATTTTTACTAGAATTCCATGTCATAGTTTGTCTCTATGTTGTATACTATGTACAACAATGGTGTTTTAAATGTAACTTCACAGGAATTGATTTATTGGTTAGCGTTTGCAATTGTGTAGAGAGACGAGATGGAAATGTTTTATTGAATTCTTAATGTTTGGTTGAATTTCACAGTTTTAGTTTATGGGGTTCTTGGATTTTCTTTTTCCGGCTCCTAATAATTGTTTGTTGATCAATTGATGAATTGTTGGTTGTAATTGAGTAGCTGAGTTAGCTTTGTAACTATGCTTCAAGCGTTCAAGTGTTGTTCGGCTTTCCTTTTTGTGCATTTCCTAGAGTTGGCTATTAAAAAGCATTATTTATTTGGCTATGAAGTGCTAAATTTGTAGTGGTTTTGAGTAGTTGACAATAAATAGGACTTAATTTAAAGAAATAGAGAAACCTCACGCAAAAAAGGCATCCATTTATCATTAACTTTATCTATTTCACAAAATTTGTGTATGGTTAGAGAGTAGAAAGGTGAGACGGAGAAGTTTTAATATTCAGTCGAATCATTTGGTGTCGCAAATTCTTAATGTTTCCGATTGTTTGTGGTAATTATATATAATTTGACATGATTTTGTCTTTGCATGGTTCATTGGTGATAATGGTACACCACATTATTCTCCACCAAAAAGTCGTGCTAAAGGAAAAACTGATATAGGACGGGGTCATTGTAAAGAGATTTTTGAAGCTGGTACTAATGGAAACAAAAAGAAATTGGTTTGCTTGTACTGTGGAAAGACTTGTGTTGGAGGTGGTATTAATAGCGTCAAATAACACTTAGTAAGGTTAAAAGGTGATGTTGATTCGTGTTGTAAAGTATTTCCTGATGTAAGAATCAAAATGAAAGAAAACTTGGACAACTATGTTGCAAATAAGCGTAAAACTCAAGAAGTTCTCAAAGAGTTTAATCCACATAGTTCTTATTATCGAGAACAAGAAGAGAGAATGTATAGAGATTTTGCATGATAATAATGTTCAAGAAACGTCCCTCCTAGTTCTAAAAGAAAGAGTATAGTTATGGGAAAAGTGAAATAAAAGGAGTGGGAGCTAAAATTTTAAAAGAATAAAAAGGAATTGGTTCTTACTTCATGCCAAGAATAGGACCTGGTAGCCAACCTACTATTAAAAATGTTCTTCAAAATAACGAAGTTATATCTTACTATATCGAAATGGATGATTGATTCGTGCATTCCGTTCAATACTTTAAATTTTGTATTATCAACAAAGTATAGATGTCATAGCTAGTATGGGTCCTGGCTATTAAAGTCCAAACTTTTATAGTCTTCGTGGTTATTTGTTGGCTAGAAATGTTAAAGAAGTGGAGAATTATGTTGATAGCTCTTGTTCAACTTGAAAGATGACTGGTTGTACAATTATGGCAGATGGTTGGACAAATCAATGTAGAAGAACTCTCATTAATTTTCTAGTTTATTGTATGAAATGAACAATTTTCTTAAAAGCCATAGATGCTTTAGATGAATTAAAAACTGCTCATATGTTATACAAGTTGTTTCAAGATGTTGTGTTATTTGTGGGTTCACAAATAATGCTACAAATTATGTTGCTGTTGGTAGGTTATTGGAGCGAGAATTTTAATCATTATTTTGGTCTTCATGTGTAGCCCATTGTATAAATCTAAGAGCCTGTTTGATAGGCCCTTATTTTTCATGAAAGTTGGAATTGAAATTCCATTTCCTACTTTTGCCATGTTTGATGACACTTTTTTTCCCTGGAATGAGTTTTCCACCTTTGCTAATTTTCTTTGTTTTAGTTGAATTGAAATTTCCACCTTTTAGGTGGGAATTGAAATTCCATCTTTTTTTTTTTTTTTGGCAATAGAAACAAATTATATCCCCAATT